TTGACGCGAAGCTTGACATATATAAATCAAATCCCGTTATGTCTTCTTTGTGTTTCATATTAAGGTTAGATACGTAGCCTTATAAGCCAATGTTGCTATGTTGTGGAATTTCAACAGCTAGTTCAAATACGAGTATAATGTATATTTGGATGATTAATTTATCTAATCTTTTTTATAATATTAACCTTTTATTTTATAATTTTTGTACACAAAATTTATATAAATACGATTGTTCTTTAAATGTTATCAGCCACCAACCACGCGCGAAAGGAAAACGAGAAGGACAAAAGCTACCCCTTGAGATATACCTAAGACACAGTTAAACTGCCAAAATAAAACAAAATGGTTTGCACCAATATTATAAGCTTAAATCAATTTTTTTAATTTTTTTTTATTACATTCTATTGCATTTTCTATTTATTATTATTTAAAATAAATTTCACACTGCTCATTTACGTTGGTAAAAGGAAAATGTGTGTCTAATTTTTTAAAGAGGGTATGTAAAGATTCTGTAAAAATTAAGGTAAGTTGATATTAGACTTACAGAAACAAACTTAACATCGGGTGTTTTTATCATTAAGGAGGATATTGAATACATTGTATTTTTTTAAATCAGCAAACTGACATCGGATTATTGTGATTTTTTTTTATTCTAAAAATATAATCCATTGTACTAATTCTACTCGATTTCTTTCTTAGCTTTTGTGACACTTAGTACTATTTTAAAATTGATGATGAAAGAAATAATTAAGTAAAATGGTAATGATTTGCCAAAGTGGAGCTTTTTGAGTCATACTTATTTACCTAGAGGCATGTGTTCATACTCATAGTTTAGTGCATGTCAATTCCAGTTTGTTGCCTTGAACCTTCAGTTTGAAATGTCGTGCTTAGGGTATAAATGAATTGAAATATTTATAAATTATTTAATTTTGATTATAAAATGTGTGATTAAATTTGTTTATATGGCAATAAACAAATAAATTTATATTTAACTTTGAACTCGATTATATAAACCAGTTAGAGTTAAAAGTTTATAGACTTAATATTAAAAGTTTATGAATAAGTACTTTATAGAAAGTGATAAAAAAATGCGATTTAAATTTAAATAAAAAGACTTAATTATATTTTCTAAATATCATTATATTTTTATTATTTATAGATATTCTTTTGTTCTTTTTTAGCCAATAAAATAGTTCTCTCAACTTAATCGACTTTAATGTGTCCTGTAAAATCTAGGAATTAAACTTTTAATTTTGAGTTTGAATTGTATATAAATATTTTTAGTTTAATTTGATCAAACTTAGTGAGTAAAAACTGTGAAAATTTACAAAAATTGAGCTAAGTCTATCATTCATAATAAGACGGTTCAAAGGGACTAAGTAGAACATTTTTTAGCATTACTCTCTTTGTACTTTTATCGCATTTTAACATAATTTTTTAATTAAATAATTAATCAATAAAAAGGATTTATTTCATGTAGCTATGGACTCAACACAAAATTTCATTAATAAAATTAAAAAATAATTTAAGAATATATTTGTTAAATAAAAAATAATAAAACTATAACGGAGCTAAAAAAAACAAATTTAACTTATTTAAACAAACAAATAAAATTTGAGCAACATTCCTTTACAAGTTACGTACTCATTTTAATTCGACTTCTTTGTATTCTTAAGCATAGTGATTCATGAAAACTATAATTAGGTTTGCATTAGTTTCATTTTCTTAGAAGCAGACTTTGGATTTTCCGTATTCAAGATGATTTATTTCAACTGTGATCAATAATGAAGTTTCAAGTCAACATAGCATTAAGCTAAGTCATGAGCTATAGTTCTAGACGAAAATGAGTTCTGTTGCTTTTTACAACTATATATAATGGTAAGGATCAGAATTGTACCATACTTGAACTCATTTTAAACTGGTTTACGCAAGTAGAAATTTACCAACATTATGTTTTTAGGTTTCTTCTTGCTGGAAAACTTTGAACAAGCAATAAATGAATTCTTCATGAAATTAAAATTCTTTGAAATAAAACTTAATCTCTAAGTTAATTCATTATTTATAAATAATTGGCCATTATTATCCTAAACACACAAGTTAATTAAACCAACCAACCCTATCTAGCTAGATGATAGATCTTGCACTGTTTCTAGTTTACAAAATGAAAATATAATATTGACCATTGCTTATCATGAAACAGGAAAGTAAAATATTCGGAGTTATCATTGGACGTTCAGTTTCGTCCAGTTGCAATGTATAGCTACCGAGGATTCCATTTATGATACACGTGGTCCCAATAAAACAATGCTCACACACACACACACACTTATATAGTATGCAATCAACATAACATAGATCCTAGCAGTATATAACATGATATATGTCTGTCACAAGACCCAGAAGCTATTATACAATCAAATAGTTTTCACTCACACTTGAAAGTTGTAGTGCATATTTAAAAAGTTTACAAAATCACGTTTTAAGGTAAAGGCGATAAGTTATAACCTTAAAATGGATATATGTTTGAGTGAATTTAACGTACATATACCAACGTTATCTTACGTTTGTTCTCCATATGTTAGTTTCCATCGTTCATATACAAGCACATCTTCACTTCCATTAAGCCACTTTGATGAATGAAAAAACCCCGAAAGTTGTTTCCATTTTGGTCTCTCTCTTAGAATCAGAGCAATGAGTCAATTCAAACATGAAACTTGAAAGTCTCTGTATAAGTATATCTTGTTACTGCTTAATAATTAAGTATGAACTCACTAAAAGATTATTATTCTAATAGAATAATATCGCAGTAGCTGCAATCATTTCAGAGCGGAGGTCACTACAAAGTTTTCATAAGTTTGTACATAATATGAATGGAAAGCAATATAAAGAAGATCTAGCAAGGTGTATTGAATCTTTTCCCTCGGGAATATCCCATATCTTGCAAAGATTGAGCAAAATATTTCTCGTTTTAGATACAGCTGCGAATCAAAATTACATGATATAGACAAAGTCTTATATCCATTATGTTTGTCATTATGATTGTTCTGTGATAACTATTAATTTAACAGAGAGGTTAAGTTATGCACGTTTCAGTCTAGAATTGAACACCCTAACTACCTATAGCTAAAGCATTTTTAAAGTGGGTGACTCCTTAAATGTGCATTAGTGCTTAAATTGTCAGGTCTAGTTCCCACTTTTTATTTTCATAGCAGCAATTTGAACACACTGTGAATATCCATCCGCGAGGGCTTCTCCCAAATTATTTTGGATAAGAGCTTGTTTTTGGTCCGTTTTCTAGTGCATCATATACATGTTTTCCTCCTCCTTGCACAGATTCATTAGCATGTGCTGACTTCATACCCCATCATTTAAAAGATTCAAATTGATTTAATTTCAAGGTTAAAACAATAGTTTTACACCTTCTTGTAATTATATTTCAGTTATAATGGTAAGAGTTTGACTATGATTATTATCTACAAAGTCAAACACTTTTAATAGTTGTGATAATAATAATAACAATGATTAAAGTTAATAATTTTAAAAAATTAAAAAAAAAGTTGTAATTAGTTCTTTATTTTTGTTACATCACTGACAACAAAATTTGAACAGATGCCTCATGCCAACTACTCAAACACCACACCACTAACTCAATCTTAATATTTAACAAATTAACTTTTTTCTTTCGCTGTCATCCGCAATACATAAAAAGAAAATCAACGCTTTTTGTTCTAGAAATATCATGCCCTTCCATTTCATTTTATTCTAAACATAGCTGTAACATGATTAAGGAAATACAAATGTTAACGAGTTATCTTAGGTATTTATTAAAAAGTTTCTAATATACTGAGTACTGTATTTTTCATCAAAATATCTTTTTATTACATCAAACAAGTGTCATTAGGGCACTTCTAACAATACCCTTCGATAACATTTGCCATTTGATAGATGTGTTAGAATGAAATATAATATATATATATATATATATATATATATATTATGTGTGATACAGCTTAAAAATACAACTTCAGTTGTGAATTAAGAACAAAACATAATATTTCATCCTATTTCAGTGATATAGCAAATGCTGCCTTTTGTTTGATTTAAAAGAGGAGAGAAAAAAAGTGAAATAATGCCTAATTTGATTCAAAATAAGTGAGGGAAAATAAAGCAATTCATTGTAATATTTTACAACAAATAAATAAAGTCTTTAAAGTCAAATATATAAGTTTAAATAATTTAATCAATATGGTCTAAAATCTTTAAGTATTTTTCCCTTTTAAATTCTCCGAATACTGGAGAGCAAGAAAAAATGAAAAAAAAAAATAGTTTTGACATCCTTTCTTCCCTTTTAAATATATTAACTAAATACATTATTTACAAAAAAAACCTTTTTTTTTCACTTTCTCATTTCTTTCTTTCCTTTCAATCTAACATTATGCATAGAAAAGTTGGGGGTGGGATCAAGATGAAGCTTGGGCTCTGTAAAGTACTCAGATGATTTGTATTGCAGTATCTTACCATTACAGTTCAGAACCAAGCAACTTCTTAGCTGTGGGCTTTTAAGTTGGGTTTCTGTTTTCCCGAAGCCTTTCTAGTTGGAAAACCAAATAACTTCTTCATCTTCTCTCTAACATTTCCATTCTAATAATGTTGCCATCATTAGTGCCATCATGTCTCAATTGCTATTGCAGGAGGGATAAATAAAATTAGTTTCAACAGGAGTTACAGCTCGTCCAAGTATCAATGTGCGATTTAAGTTTTCATTGCCAGCAAAACAGAATATCCTGAATCCGGTGTTACTGTTTGCTCGGTTACTGTTCATTCCGAATAGAATTAAGAATATTTGTGCAAGGAAAATAACATTTGCACACCCATATGGGTATATATAGAACTCACATTAGCGGATAGAGAAGAAGAAAAATAAAATAAATAAGATGGGACATAAGTGATAAGTATAAATGAAGAAAAAATGAAACAAAGGAAAGATTAAAGATTAATTGTAGGAAATATAAAGTATAAAAAAATCAAGGTTGTTGGGGGTATCTTGATGGCACAGTCAGTCATTGAGAAAGAAAGGAGGCTTTTCCTTGTCTTTAATTTTTACACCCATTCTTACAAAGAAATAAACTAAAATTCAACTCGTGGGACCAGAAAGTTTACTTCCTTCACACATTCTAAAAGACACTATACAATGCATAATCATAATAAAACGCTATGCTTCCATCTTAAAGCTTATTAAGCAATTTCTATTAACAAGCTCCAGCACCAACTTTGGGAATGTATTCAAAATCACTGGTGAGTGAACAACACCGCTGACATTTTTCTGCTTCTAACGTCTTACATTCATTGAAGCTCCTTTTTGCCTGCTTGACAAAACAGCACCCTGTGACAATGATGATGGTTTGAATCCCCCAACCAGTAGCCTAGATGCTCCGCCTGCAGAAATTTTTCTTCGTTTAGACTCTAGTTCCAGCCTTCTCTTATCAGACATGGATGAGGCAGATAACCCTGGGAAGATGGAACCAGCATTGATCATTGCCCGCTTGTCCTTCCTATTTTTCTCAAACTTAGTTGAAAACTTCACATTTGCAGCAGTTGCAGCATCTTGTTCTGAAGCTGGAAGCAGTCGAATGCCAAGGCCTCTTTTCCTGGAAGCAGTTTCTTCTTCAGCAACTCTCTTCTTTTGATTCTGAGAAAATGGAAAAGAATTATTCTTTGTTGTGCCAAGATGAAAATATCAAGTAAAAAATGAAGGGAAAAAAAAAGCTATTAAAAGGGGAAAAAATGGAGAAACAAATGAATGATAAAACCAGAGCAAATTTCATGAGCTAAGTAACATACTCTAAGTTGGGCCCTGAGGCTCTTATTTAGGGCATAGTCATCTGAATGTCTGGCATCAGATAGTCGCTGGAGACGGACAATTACTGGTTCAGCTTCCTTCTTTTTCTTCAAATCTTCCTCCTGGTGTTCAAGGCGGTAAAATGGATCAGCAAGCTTCCCTCTCTCTGTAATGCAGAAATTATAATATGAAGCAGGTTAGCTAGTATTGGGATTAGGGGATCAGTTGCTACATGTTAATGACAGCTGTAATGCTGATAAAGGTACAGCGTTGAACTTGTTAAAAGGGCAATTTGCCAAGAGGGCTGTTCTTTGAGGTATATTACATTCCCATAAATGACATTCCTACGAATACTCTAACCAGGTATGTCATTACTGGGTAAATTCATAAACATGTTTGGTTAGAATTTAATATTTCATGGAATATTTTTCAAAATTTAAATGATATTGAGAGGAAAAGGTGGGAGGGGGAAAGGAATTTATTAATTGGGTTATATACTTATATGGTAACTTCCAATTTTCTCATGGGAAGGCAACATACCCACACCTCACCCATGGGAATAAAATTGTGGGGAAAAAAAAGAAGTAATGTCTCCTTCCTGGAAATCAATAATGCCCAGAAATGCTTTTTAAAACTTGTGCTTAACATGGAAATGCCACATTCCTGAGTTAATTTTCCCAGGAATAATTTCACAAACCTTAAAACAAACACAACCGCCAAGTTCACAGAAAACACCTAAAGGACCCAATGGTTTAATGGCTTGCTCTCCCTGCTTTAATAACAAAATTGCACGATGCAATTTCATGTTCCAAGCTATCTGGAGCAAATGTGCTCCTAATTAATAAAGGAGGAAATGCTAACAAACGAATTACTTCCTAAATGCATACCTTCATCAGCTGGTAATTCAAAAGTTTCTGCATCCTCAACATCAAAATCCTCTGTTTTTTTCTGAGCACCACTGATGATCACATACTCACAGTTCTTTGGATCAGTCTGGATGATGATCTCATGTTTACAGCATGCAGCCTTCATGGTAAAGCTCCATATCTGAAGGAATCCAGAGATAAAATTGTTAATTAGTATATATACTACTGAAGCTAGATTGAGCCGTTTTATTTATATTAGTTCAAAGATATTATAGCACATAAACACTTGAAAGTATGATGGTACTGGTATAGGACATGGACACCATTTTCAGAGTATAGTTGTATAGAGTATCACTAACGAAGATACCATATCAAAAAGTTTTAAAATATGTGGCACCATAAGGTTGATGATAGTGTAAAACTCTGCAGTCACTGAATCAGAATTAATTTCTATATATATCGTGAAAAAAGTGGTTGCATGAGTGATCAAGTGCAACAATTCTTGCTTGTTTCCAAACAATTAATGGAAAATTAATACAACAATCTTGGCTACAGTAACTGTCATAAACATTAGATGGTTTTGCAGCAACTTCAACATACCTTTGTGGAGTAGTAATTCCCAACTTGTTTTTTCTCTGCATTGAATCGAACACCCTTTGCAATCATAGAATTACATCCTCCACACCATATATTAAAAGGCATCTCAAACCTGAAAGCATGTCCATTTGATAACAAGCAATTAAAAGTTAAAATAAAAATAAATATTGTATCCTAAGCTATACAATATAAGCCACAATGGAAAGAGGAGGCAAATGAAGAGTAATTTTACAAGCGTAGATATACATAAGCTTATTTAAAGCACACATTCAAAGAAACAAACCAAATTCACAACTTCAAGTAAGACCATGTCCCAGCACATGTATCAAATAAATTATGGACAGTTCAATCATATGGGGTCATTTGAATATAGTCATCAATCATAATACATATCAACAAACTAGTCTTTCAGATATTATACACTGGAACTAGCTTATGACTCTTCTAGGTACAAAATGGACATCAATAACTTTAAAAGGTCATCATTCTCATTGTTTCATCTTCCCTATTATAGAGGTCCTAGAATAAAGAACTTGCTGTAGGAGATCCATCATTCAAGATAAATTACGACTAAAATGATTTAATGGCCTGCTGTGAAAGTGAATCATTACCTTATAATCAAGATACCCTGATCTATCTTCCTTGCTCTCTCTCTCAAGGCATGCTGGCCGTGAAACTTGTTTAGAGAACCCTGACAGGAAAAAAAAAAAAAAACAGTGTAAGACCTATGATAGAAAAAAAAAAATATTAGAACTGATTGCATGTAAGAAAACATACCTGACTTGGGTCCCATTCTGGGGGATAGTAAAAATTGTCTGCTCTAGCAGCTGCAAGGGAAGACTGCAGAAATGCAAACAGTGCAAGTTCAGTGCGTTGGAAAACCAACTAACAAATACCAAATAACATACAAGTTTCAAAACTTTTTTCTTTTAGAATAAAAAATAATAATAATAAAACTATAGCGTACAAATCCATAAGTACCCAGCTAAAATACATGCACCAAACATGAAGTTCAGAATTCAAAGCAATTGCGCAAAAGGAAAACAAACCATTAAAGAGTAAATATGAGAAAAAATATAGTTCTAGTTCTATTGAACGCAAATTTGTAGACTCCTGAATTGAAAGATGCAATATGTTTCAAGTTTTAGGGACTGAATTGATAACAATTATCTTTAGAAGACTAAAATAGCGCTTCACTCTAAAATCAAACCCCACAGAACAAAAATTCTACGGTTACGATCGCTATGCAACACAACAAACAGAAGCACAGAATATTCACGGCAAAGAAACATAAACCGAAACCCTAATCATAATCAAAATCATACAACAAAATGGGAAAATAAAAAGGTAAAGTAGAATTCGCACCATTTAATTTATCGTTCTTCGAAACTTGAAAATGATTTTTTCCTGCACAGTTGGTGAATCGTGAAGTTGTTCGACGAAGATCTCTCTCTCCCTGGTTCGGAAAATTGGTTTGATCCTAATGAAAAGAGAAAACCGGGTTGAGGGGGTTTAATTGGATCTGCCTTGCGGATCGGGTTATTAGACTCAGTCTGTAAGGCCCAAAAATAGTTGATCCCATAAACTAATGAGCCCAAACACTACACAGTCCAACCGTGGACACCACATAAAGGTTGGACTTTTCCAATCATGTTGTTGCGTTATCAACTTGCAATGGATTGTTCATCAAATAAATAAATAAATAACTTTACAGCACCAAAAAATCACACTTCTATTTATCTCTTTCCCTTAGACAAATAATAATAATAATAATAATAATAATAATAATAATAATAAAGCAATGAAATAATTGGAAAAAAAATAAAAAAACAAAGAAAATATAAAAAAATGGGAACAATCGAAAATAATAATAATAATAGATGTTAGATGATAATTCAACTAATGTAAGTGATTGCACACTATATTAATTTTTGAGCATTGTTAAATAGTCCAAAGTCTTTCAGCACGAAAGTCTTAAAAAATAAAAAAAATATCAATTAAAACAAGCGTCTGTGTAAATGGAAGGAAAATAAAATATTATTAAAAAATTAATTACTAATCAAATTTAGTAATGATGCAATACAAATTTTCCTTCTTACTAAAAAGCATTTTTATTAAATTTTCTTTACGAGCAATGCTATACAGTTCTTGTGACAAAAGTCGCATGAGTTTACGTGTTAATAGGTTATTAAAAGATATTAAATTAAAAAACAAGTAAGGTCATTGATGGAAATTATTAGTGTTTATTGTATATGCAATTTTTGCATATAAAAATTTGTAAAAAAAAAAAAAATACTATTTAATATTTTTGTATAATTAAATAATTTTTCAAAATAATCAAAGTATTTCCTTTATGAATTAAAATTATTTACCTTTTAAAGTTATTTTAACCTTTTAAAAATTCAACGAATCATAAAAAATGTATATTTAAAAATACATTACTGTCATTTACCTTGTCGCTAATTTATTAGTAACATGAGAAAGATTAAAATACTAACTAGTGTTCTAAAATTACTCATTAAAAATAAAAGATACACTTTTATCAAAAATGCATAATACTTTACAGTATCAACATATGAACATTTTAATTTTTAATACAAAATTATTTATTAATTTTTAAACCAATACACTAAAATATTGATTACTAGGAACTTTTTAAAAAATATTAACAGTGCATTTTTTTAACACATTGTAAATACACTTTTACAATTACTTTTTCTATTTTATTTTTGTTTTATCGTTTAAGAGATAACCAATTACTACACGAAAATAGTTTTCTTTAACAAAAATATAAAATCAACAATAATAAGTAATTTCAATATTTTTTTGTAATTTTATTGTAAAAAAAATATTTTAGTTAATTTATGAAACAAATTGAATTCAAAATACTTTTTTACTTAACATAACTAAATAAAAAAATATTTGAACTAATTATAATAATAATTAATTATAAATACAATCAATTATTAATATAATCCAAGGAGACACTTAATACTTGGATTTAAATATGTAACCCTTTGAAATGACGGTATGTACATATTTGGTTTAGTAAGTAGCTTCAATTAGTGAATTTCAGTACGAGAATCAATTCCTCTAAATACAACACACTGATATGGAAGTAAATCTTTAAGATTACTCAAAAAGCACTTGAGTGAAACAATGAATACTCTGCATACAAACTTACCCCAAGAGTTTGTGATATAAACTAACTAAATTAAAAGTACCAGCAAAATTAAATTCTTCTTGCTTCTCCCCCTTTTCTATCATAATTAGAGGTTCAACTTACCTTTCAACTACTACAAATTCATGTTAAAAATCATTTTCAATAAAAAATTATACTTATTGGGTTATTAAATAAGGGTAATCGGTATAGTGGTTTTCTACTTTGAGTGCTTAATTCCTTCTCCTTAATAAGGAAATCCTCTGCATTAATATCCAGAATGTAAGAAGGAAAATAAAATAAAGAGAAAAATATAGAATAAATATAATAAATACAAGAACAAAAGAAATTTAAAAAAATAGTTATAGTCTCTCTTCCAAAATCCACTTTTTTTTTATGTATATTTTCTTAGATATTATATTATGGGCGAGTCTGTTATCACTTGAAATATTTTTGTCAATCCCGTTTAATATATTTTTTAAATATTTTTTATTAATTAAAATAATGATAAAAATGTTTAAAAAAATTATTATACGATAATTGATAATAAATATATGGAAGCGGCAAATGACACTTTCTTACTTTGTCCTTTCACCTTTTGGTAACAGTTAAGATTGCATTCTCTCCTACCTTTGTCAAATAGTTCTTAGATTGCTTTGCCGATAGAAAATATGGATTGCACATTCCCCACCCTTTTATTAAGTTGCAATACACTCAAAACCAGCGCGGATCTTTCCTTGCACCCAATCATCTCTATTATTTTAATTTAACTTTTTCTTTTTTCCCCTACACTTAACAGGAGAAACTAAGAGAGAAAGTGATCTTATATTCATTTTTCCAATGCATCTAAGATATTCAAGAGAATAATAATAGGTATAATCATACATAATTCCAGCTTTGACAATTGTCATTATGATCCTAAAAGTTTTTTTATTCCTTTATTTCTAAGGAACTTTCATTGGGGAAAGTGTCTACTTCTCAATCCCATATCCCTCAGACCCTCACTCTCATTGAAAATAAACCATAAAAAAGGTACTCCAAACTATCAGGTTCCATGAAAAGGCCAATTCACACACATTTCAACACTCCCCTTAGCATTTCCCATCTTAAACCCTGATCCACCAAATCCAACTTGTCAAAACTCCATCTTCTAAATTCCCCTCTATCTTAAGACTTTCCTCCACATTGTTCCTGCTCCATGCTTCCCCTTCTCACCCTTTGCCATCTCCTTCTCTTCCATCATGGCCTTCAAAATCTCTCAACTAGTTCACATTCTTCTATGCCTCTCCCTTCTATTCTTACTCTTTCATGAGTATTACAATCTCAAGTCCAAGATCAACAAGAAACACATCACACAACCTGGTCACTCAATACCCTCTCATCACCCTTTTATGAGCAGGAAAGTTCTAGCTAGCAAATTTGACTTCACTCCTTTCTTTAAGCATCATCATCAGCATTATAAACACCCTCCACCGGGTGTTTCAGTGCAGCATGATCCTCCAGACACTGAGATTGATCCACGTTATGGGGTTGAGAAGCGTCGTGTGCCAACTGGTCCAAACCCATTACACCATTGATGGTAACCATAAAGGGTTTGAAATGAGACCACAAAAGGAAATGGTTAGTAGTTGAGGTTTGATATATAATGATAACCCTATTGATGCTGCTAAATATTTTTTTTGTTTTGATAATTAACTTTCTTTCTCCTTTTTTTCCCCCTCTTTCTTGGCCTGCTTTTTGATATTGAAACCAGAATCAGAATTGACCATCTTATTGTGTATAATATATTATATGATTTTGCCAGCTTGAGATTGTACATGTACATTAAGTCCATTTGTTTGATTTACACAAAGTGAGTACTATTCATCTTCTAGTTTTCGGGGTTTTTCTTGGTGATTACCATGATTTGCTAATTTCGTCAACGTAAAGATTCATGGATTGAAAGTTTAAAAGGAATTGAAATAAATAAATAAATCATTTTGATATGTAGGCTAATGATCTTTCTTAAAGAAAAACATGAGTAGCTGAGACGGCACGGCACACATTGGAGAGATTTTAGTTGGGGCCATAATAATGATATATAATATGACGCGTTTGGTTAGCATCAAAGCATAATTTCTCTCTGAAGAGTGAAGATTAATAAATGCACCTTGCCACTGCACGTGATCATAGCCCTGGTGGTTGAAAATGGGAAGTGAAGGTTTTTCTCACACCTTGAATTAATTCAATCAAATCTTTATATTTAATCACTTTCTCTCCCTCTAAAAAACAATTAAACGGAAAAAGTAATTGCCAATTACAAGAAAATATATTGCCACTTAACTTTTTTATTAAGTTATCGACAAGCACCTTATGCATATTCATATCTATAGTAGGAAGCCACCATCATACTTTTGCATTCGTTTGGCTATTTTTTTTCTTCCCAAAGTGTTCATCATTTACCCAACCCAGATTGTATTCTTTCAAACTTTATAGCAATTTGTAGTTAGATTATGAATATATAACTCCTAGACTGTTTATTCTTAATTTATTTTCCTTATTACCCCCTTATGGAGACCATTATGAAGATACCCGGAAATAAAAACCAACCATATATTTATTTTGCTGTTAAATGAAATGCTGAAAACTCTGCATTTTCATTCCGACTTTTCGTATTCGTTTACTTTGAATATTTATATTGTTCCACTGATTATCGATGGTGGACAAATATATCTATTAGTGATATGTATTTAACCTTAATTTGACTTGGATTTTTATTGATTTGTAAACTAATTTGGATAAACTAAAAAATAAAATAAAATCAATAAACCTATGATTACTGATCGACGAGAAAATATATCACAAACGACATCAGTATGGATATCATAATTGTAAAATAAAATTGAAGTGCCAAATTCGCATAGAGCTAAATACAATAGATCCAACTAACACAATCCCTAGTACTTATGATTCATATATAGGTTATAAACTTTTTTTATTTTTATTCGAGCATGACACCACCTTCTTTTTGCATTAAACTACTGGTATTTTAAAATTGCACTATGACTTTTTTTGGAGCGGTCAACGCACTATGTCTAAGATGAATCGACCCAAATGAGCTCATTTAAGGGTGACTTTCTAACATTTTTTGTGCTTACGATACCCGAACTTAAATATTAAAAATAATAATAAATAAAGAAATAGGTTTTTTTAATTATTTGGACTAATAGATATTGAATCATTGATATGAAATAAGCATACATGAATTTACAAACGTACGTCGTGGAGTTCAGAAAATAATTAATTTAACAAAAATGTGTATTAGTTTCCTTTTGAAACGTACACGGCTGACCAATATTATGGGCAGATAATAACAATACTAATAATAAGAAGTAGTGCATGTATATATATAGAATAACGTGGATAAATAATAATTGGAACCGTCAATAATTGGTTTCCTATAACATAAACACCCGAATAACCTTCATGGATTTGTAGGATTCATATTAATTCTTCTGTTAATAATTATGAACTACACACTAGCTAGTCATTACAATATTTTAAATTTTAAATTTTAAATTTTAAATATATTTTTAATTATTATAAATATAATTAAATTAATTTTTAATTTTTAATTTTTAATCTATTTTGTTAATTATGATCTTTATAAGTTTAAAACTTTTAAAAACGAGCTCTATTATTATTTTAAGATAACATGGTATACATTTACGAAGATAAATAGTGTAACCTAAATAAATTTCATATTATCGATAAGTAATAACTATTAATTTTTAAAAGATTTATATTTATAAAATTAAAAGTTCATATTTTTAAAAAGAATTAATTTTATTTTATTTAATCATATTTAATTTACATATACTAGAAGTATATTTTACTCATTTCAAAGGCAACAAGGGGCATAACAAATGATGGGTTGGGGTCCGCATTTAGCACTTAACATTACTTTATACGTGTGTGTTGTTACTGAGGCAAGCAATTTCTTTGGTCTCTTTAAATGAAGGTGTGACTATGAGATAATGATACCAAGATCTATGCTCCATCATCATTTTCACAAGAATTTAGAGGTTGTGTCTCAGCACATATATTTAGCAACGTTTTCTTTTAAATAAATATTATTTATTTTCAATGATTATTCTCTTAAAAAGCTGATAAAAGTATAATGACTTCTTCAAAAAAAAAAAAATGATTAAAACACTCATTTTTGCTTACTAGGGTCATGTCTGCTAACTGCTGGCAACTCTCTGCAAGAACTCGGAGTTAATTAGAGGGGATATTTTAGTTTAGAGAAAGGGATACATGCATGTACTATAGTTACGAAGTCTCGGAAATCAAACGAATGATCAGTGCCGAAATGTTTTGCATGATTCCAACAATAAAAAATTAATTTAAATACAATAACTACGTAAAAAAATATACTAACATCTAATTATAAATTATCATGTCAATAAAGTTTATAATATTTATAATAATTAATTCAAAAATTATAGTTACAGTATTTTTTAATTAGTTGATAGTATAAAATATCTATAATAATAAAACCTCAAAAATTAAACTCTAAAAAGAATCCACTCAGTCAGCGCTTTTAGATTTTAATATATTTATTTTAAAAAATTAAAATTATTTCATATTATAGAATAATATTTCAAAAAAATTAATAAAAAACTTAAGTTACATGATAAAATCATTTTTTTTCTATTATATTTTTAGCCACTTGGTTTATCTTACAAATTTTATATAATTAGATTGTCCCTTCTTTTAGACGCGTAACTGCAATGAAGAGACTCTAATTGGTAGAATGTAAAATTACTTTGAAAATATAAATATAATTCTTAAATCTAACGCTCAAATATCAATTCTTACAAAATAGAAGTTAAATATTTTTACTTATCTTAAATAATAAGAATTGATTTTGAAAAAGTTAGAAGTTATCAATTGAGCAAGAGTAAGAAAGCATCAGTTTTCAACTAATATAAAAGTAGTTATATTGTTAAAAAATTAAAAATTATAGAATTGTTCGTTTTAAAACTATTTATACATTAATGTGACAACGTGTCATTTTTTTAACCAATAATTAAGTACATTTTTAATTTCCAAACATTAATATTAGTTCGATTTTTATATTTAAAAAATATTTTTTAGTCTATATAATTTTTTAAAAATATTTTAATCTCCACTACCGACATTGCGCTAAAGCACTTGTTCTGCAAGGTGTAATTATTTGGACAGATAATTAATATATTGAATTGACCAAAATTAAATAAAAGAAAATTATAAGGACTAAAATTAAAATAAAATAAAATTATAAGAATAAAAAAAATTATAAAATTATAAGGACAAAAGGTAAAACTTTTCAGATATAGATATCGAAATTAAAATCAAGATAAATTAGAGAAATTATATATACCAGCTCGTTAACTAATTAATATAATAAATATAAAGAGGCATAATTAGGATTAGATTTGGCAGAACGAGAAGAAGATTTCCTTTTCATTTTCTTTTTGAAGTGGTGCAATCGGATATTGATGCAAGTAATTCATTATGATAAGGGACAAGAAAAGGCAGTGATACTTGATGTACATAATGCAGCAAATTCTGAACGTGTGAATCACGCTTTTGATAAAATATATACAATTTATGTTTTTGATTTGACGTTTGTTTAGAGAAATATTGAGGTATTAATCTATTTTTCTAAATATGAAATCATACTCATTAAAAAAGGAAAGACTTGCAGATTATTTCAAGATAAGAAATATTATTATCATACTCTTTAATACATATTTTTTAAATTTATTTTTAATTATTAGTTAAAATTTATTAAGAATTATGTTAGTTTCATTCTTTTTAGTCCAAAATTAATATTTTTTATCATATTTTTAAAATTTTAATATATTTTAGTTAATATTAAAAATATATGTTAAAAACTATATTGCTAACAATTTTTTCATCACAAAATTTATGATCTCAAAGTTTAGAGAAACTAAAAAGGGGTTGGAGGAGAAGAACTATCTATATGATATTAGCAGAAATATAGCACACTGGCTTACATTATTCTATCCCATTTTCCAACTCCCCATTTGAAAAGAAAGTCTTAAATAATTAGCATGCAAAGATAATTCCTCTATTGGCTTTATTTTTATTGATTAAAAGCGAATAAAGCATGGAATATAGTGATTCCATGAATAAGAGTTTTTCATTTCAAGTTACGTGAGGTCGAACTTGTTATTCAAATCTTCTCCTCACTTCACCGTCCAAACTAGCTTCGGGTGTCCATAAAATTAGACTCAATTTGTCAAAATAATTTTCATTAATTGTGAAAAATAATAACCGCTGTCTTTATTGAATTTAAAAAGCAACATTCATATTTTTATCATAACTTAAATCAACGTTTTTTTTATTTTCAAATTGTAAAAGAAATAAATGACCATTTTTCAAGATTGTACATTGACGTTACATATATAGAATAAACATATAAATATAGAGGCCATGATGCTGGTTTTCATGTGTAAAATCATCGCAAGCTACTATTTAGGCTGACAATTACTGAATTGCGTTGACAAGAAAACAATTAACAATTATA